CAGCACCCTACCCACCCCCCCTTCCAGCCCCCCTCCGCCCGCCATCCAATCTCCTCAACGTAATCCCCGACACACCGCGGAGTTGCGATCGTGCGACGGACAAATGGAGAACGTCAGTCCGGTCCGACAGGGGGATTTGTACACAGCCCCGTGCGTGTCCGACATTCAGCCGTTTAAAGCGCTAAGCCACGATACCCCCCCCCGCCCCCCCCCCCCCCGGTACCTCCCTTCAACTCGTTCAAGTTGCCCGCGTATCAGCCCCCCAGGTTGTTTTCGTTGTTGTCGGTCTGCTACTCTCCCCCGCGCCTCTATACAGGGTGCTTCGAAAAACAATGGTAACACGTAACACGGGACTGTCGTTTTTCAACGGGGAAAAATAAACGGATGATAACGCACCGCAAACACGACGAGATATGTATATTCTTGGTTCTTTCGGTAAAGTCACGTTGAAGGGGAAAAAAAATATGAATCACTGCAGTCACGAAAGCTTCAGATCAAGACGAGATATGTGTTTAAATAGATTTTAAAAGCCACTTGTTCGCCTGGAATCCTGTCCAGGTGGTCCGCAGAGCCCGGAGGCAGCATATCTCTTTTTTGCTGGTACCGTTGCAAATTCTCGGGAGCGTTCACGTTTTTTTTTGAAGCACGCTGCACATCGTGAAACATTGGTGATGGCAGGTTAGAGGCTCTCAGGATTCTGGACGGGGGTCGGTGGGGATGGGCCAAAGGAGGCCTGGCATACGCAGGAGGTCGTGGGTTTGATCCCGACCCTGATCCCGACTGTATATGTGGAGTTTCCGTGTCTCTCTCTCTCTGCGTGGAGATGTTAACTACCTCGCCTGGTATACAGGAGGCCGACGGTTCGATCCCGACCCTGATGCCGGTTGTATATTTTTAGTTTGCGTGTCACTCTCTCTCTCATCATCATCACGGTGGCTATGAGATGTTAACTACCTCGCCTGGTATACAGGAGGTCGTGGGTTCGATCCCGACCCTGATGACGCCTGCTGCTGCTGTATATTTGGAGTTTGCGTGTCTCTCTCTCATCATCATCATCATCACAGTGGCTATGAGATGTTAACTACCTCGCCTGGTATACAGGAGGTCGTGGGTTCGATCCCGACCCTGATGACGCCTGCTGCTGCTGTATATTTGGAGTTTGCGTTTTCTCTCTCATCATCATCATCACGGTGGCTAGGAGATGTTAACTACGTCGCCTGGTATACAGGAGGTCGTGGGTTCGATCCCAACCCTGATGCTGGTTGTATATTTGGAGTTTGCGTGTCTCTCTCTCTCTCTTCTCTCCGTGGTGGTGGCGTGGATTTCCCTACGGGTCCTCTGGGTTTTGCCCCTCCCCACATTGAGAATCTACGTGCATTTCGATCCCTTGGCCGTTCGAAGTATCTGGCCTCTGTACGTTTCCACGTGATAAGCAGCTTCGTTGAGCTATCGCTTTCGACCAGGGGGTGGCGGCGGGGAGAGAGAGACACGCAAACTCCAAATATACAGCAGCAGCAGGCGTCGTCAGGGTCGGGATCGAACCCACGACCTCCTGCACACCAGACGAGGTAGTCAACATCTCCTAGCCACCGTGATGATGATGAGAGACACGCAAACTCCAAATATACAGCAGCAACCATCGTCAGGGTCGTGATCGAACCCACGACCTCCTGTATACCAGGCGAGGTAGTTAACATCTCCTAGCCACCGTGATGATGATGAGAGACACGCAAACTCCAAATATACAGCAGCAGACGTCGTCAGGGTCGGGATCGAACCCACGACTCCCCGCACACCAGGCGAGGTAGTCAACATCTCCTAGCCACCGTGATGATGATGAGAGACACGCAAACTCCAAATATACAGCAGCAGGCATCGTCAGGGTCGTGATCGAACCCACGACTCCCCGCACACCAGGCGAGGGAGTCAACATCTCCTGACCACCGCGGCCCCCTCCCACCGTTGCTCGAAGGCCCCGCGGCTGTGACGGGGTGGGGGGGGGAGGGGTGGCATGTGGGCGGAGCTGTGTGTGTGTGGGGGGCGGGGCGGGGCGGGGCGGGGGGCGGGGCACGGCGCTGGCTCCGCCCACTCCTCTCACCCGCCAGCTGTCCCGCGCGTGCTGCACCAGCAGCGCCAGCGGCCCCAGGCCGAGGCGCAGCAGCAGGCGGCGCCGGCGGTGGCCATCGGCCCGCTCCTCCAGCCGGCTCCGGCGCTCCGCCCGGCGGGCCTGCTCCTCCGCCCTCTGCGGGCGAATCAGAATCGGGGGGCGTCGTTTTTCCTTCCAGGGAGAAATCCGATGGGAATGCCGAGCTCTCCGTCTCACGGACGTGCAAGCGGAAAAAATAAATAAATAGATAGATAGATCCGCCGCTCGCACTCAGGCGAGGCGCAACGGAGAACGGAAAGAAATATAAATGAAAGCGGCGGCCGTGGCCGTGTGCGTAACGACGATAACGACGACGATGGCAACATCAATCATAGCGCTCGCTCATCCGGGGGCAACACGGTGGCTAGGAGATGTTGACTCCCTCGCCTGGTGTGCAGGAGGTCGACGGTTCGATCCCGACCCTGACGACGCCTGCTGCTGTATATTTGGAGTTTGCGTGTCTCTCTCTCTCTCATCATTATCATCACAGTGGCTAGGAGATGTTAACTACCTCGCCTGGTATACAGGAGGTCGACGGTTCGATCCCGTCCCTGACGCCTGCTGCTGTATATTTGGTGTCTGCGTCTCTCTCCTCATCATCACAGTGGCTGGGAGATGTTTACCACCTCGCCTGGTATACAGGAGGTCGTGGGTTTGGTCCCGACCCTGACGCCGCCTGATGTATATTCGGAGCTCGCGCGTCTCTCTCTGTCTCTCTCTGTCTCTCTCAGCCCCCATGGTCGGTGTGGATTTTTCTCCGGGTCCTCCGCTTTTTCACCTGCACATTTAGCAAGATGCGTTTAAAGAGTATTCGGCTGATAAAAGTGTCCACGTGATGGTGGGCTATCATTTGTGATGGCAAGGTCGCTTCTGAAAATAAGCTGCGTTATTTAGTGGGGGCCTTACTTGGTAAAATAAAACAATTGTTTAGTTGAACATATTTGGAGTTTGCGTGTCTCTCTCTCTCTCTACCCGTGGCCACGTGGATTTTTCTCCGTGTTCCTCTGGTTTTCCCCTCCACGTGTAGAATCAACATCGCGCGTATAGAATATTTAGCTGCTGTTTTAAATATCCACAGGATCATGATGATGGGCCACTTCGTTGAGCTATAATTTGTGATGGCCAGTTCACTTAGCTCAGTGGGCCTTACTTGGTAAAAAGAAAATCAAAATAAAAGTTTATCTGACCCGACATGTTTCATAATTAATTAAATATCACTTTGACCAACACGTACTGTCTGTGTGAGTCAGAGGACACTCGAAGAAGGGATCTCAGATGTAGCTCAGCGTTATCCGCTTTCCGTGGGCCGATCTCTAACAGGAAGTGCTGCCCCCTCTACTGTGTGTGGACCAGAGGTCACTTGAAGGAGGGATCTCAAAGGTAGCTCTCGGACATCCGCTTCCGTGGGCCGATCTCTAGCAGCAAGTGATGCCCCCTCTACTGTGTGTGGACCAGCGGTCACTTAAGGAAGAGAAAACTCAGAGATAGCTCTGTGATATCCACTTCCGTGGGCCGATCTCCAACAGGAAGTGCTGCCCCCTCTACTGTGTGTGGACCAGCAGTCACTAGAAGAAGAGGAGGAGGAGGAGGAAGAGGAGGAGGAAGAGGAGGAGGAAGAGGAGGAGGAAGAGGAGGAGGAAGAGGAGGAAGAAGAGGAGGAAGAAGAGGAGGAAGAAGAAGAAGATGAAGAGGAAGAGGAAGACGAAGAGGAAGAGGAAGAAGAAGACGAAGAAGAAGAGGAAGACGAAGAAGATGATGAATATGAAGAAGATGAAGAAGAAGAATAAGAATAAGAAGATGAAGAGGAAGAAGAAGAAGACGAAGAAGACGAAGAGGAAGAATAAGAAGAAGATGAAGAAGAAGAGGAAGAAGAGGAGGAAGAGGAGGAAGAGGAAGAAGATGAAGAGGCTGAAGAAGAAGACGAAGGGCTCTCAGAGGTAGCTCTGCCACATCCGCTTCCGCGGGTCGACGTTCTCCGACACGAAGGCTTTCCGCCGTTCCGCCCGATTTCTTGGTCCCGCGACGCGACGGGATAGCGCCGACCGGATGACACTGCCTATATTTATTTACATGATACGAATACACATTCACATGCTGCAAATATATTAATATATATATTTAAAGGGCAACTGCCCGCAAGCGTCTGCGAAGCTTAGATAAGCCACTGCGCGCGCGTGTGGGGAACGGCCTCACCAGCTTCCGTGACCGTGTCTCCTCCTTCCGTCTCTCCGCCTCCGCCCTCCTCTCAGACTCCTCACCGCGCTGCTTCTCCTCTTCCAGCGCCCGCATTTGCGTCTGTGCCGGGAAAACAAAGACAAATTGTTCCCCCCTCCCCCGCCGCCGCCCCACCCGGGATGGCCTCGGCATGCTGTTCGGGGCTGACGCCGCTCGCGAGCTGTGCCCCATGCATGCCGTGGGTGGCCAGCGCCACGCCCGGCCGCCTTTGTCTCCCCCAAGTGGCGATGTTCACCAACGCACCGCGCCGGGTTACTCATTCGAGGCCGAGTCGACCCAGGGGGGGGGGGGGGGGGGGGGGGGGGAGGCCCGGGACCGGTTCGGATAGTCGTCACCGGTGGTGTTGGGGGTCCGTGAGCGGGAATCGAACCCGGGTCATCCGCGAACACAAAGAGAGCCAAAGACAAAGATCCCCCCGTGTAGCCTCGACGGAGTGTTGTTGGGGCAAGTGCTGTTAGCGAGCGCCAAAGACAAAGATACCCCGTGTAGCCTCGACGGAGTGTTGTTGGGGCAAGTGCTGTTAGCGAGCGCCAAAGACAAAGATACCCCGTGTAGCCTCGACGGAGTGTTGTTGGGGCAAGTGCTGTTAGCGAGCGCCAAAGACAAAGATACCCCGTGTAGCCTCGACGGAGTGTTGTTGGGGCAAGTGCTGTTAGCGCGCAACAAAGACAAAGGTCCCCCGTGTAGCCTTGACGGACTGTTGGGGCAAGTTCTGTTAGTGAGCGCCAAAGACAAAGATCCCCCGTGTAGCCTCAACGGACTGTTGCGGCAAGTGCTGTTAGTGAGCGCCAAAGACAAAGATATCCCATGTAGCCTCAACGGACTATTGGGGCAAGTGCTGTTAGTGAGCGCCAAAGACAAAGATACCCCGTGTAGCCTCGACGGAGTGTTGTTGGGGCAAGTGCTGTTAGCGCGCAACAAAGACAAAGATCCCCCGTGTAGCCTGGACAGAGTGTTGGGGCAAGTGCTGTTAGCGCGCAACAAAGACAAAGATCCCCCGTGTAGCCTTAACAGACTGTAGGGGCAAGTGCTGTTAGCGAGCAGCACCTAATAGGGTCGGCACGGAACACCGTGGGGGGGGGGGAGGGGAGGGGGGGGTGTGTGCGTGTGGGCGGCCAGCGCCACGCCCGGCCGCCTTTGTCTCCCCCAGGTAGCGATGTTTACGCATCGAGGCCGAGTCGACCTAGCGGGAGGTCCCAGACCGTAGTAATAATAATAATAATCGCCGGCGTGGGACTCGAACTCGGCTCGTCGGGGTGGGGGGTGGGTGGGGGGGGGGGTGGGGGGTGGGTGGGGGGTGGGGGGCGATCTCAGCCGCAGCCTTGCCGGCCGCGACAAGACAAGAGCCCACGCAGCAACACCCCCCCCTGACCCCACCCCCCCGACCCCACCCCCACTCGGCCGATTTGTCTCCGAACTCCGTCGTCAATTAGCCTCTGGCTGGGGGGGTGGGGGGTCGAGTTGCGAATACAAACAACGTGCCCGCAGGTGCAACCGTGATAAGCCGTTGCCCATCGTTGAGAATTGTACATCTTGCTCGCGTGAAACAAATGGTGTGGCTTCTCCCCCCCACCCACCCCCCCCCCCAAGACAATTCCCTCGTTGCGAATCATAGTTTATTTGTCTTTTTCTTTCTACCCCCCCGTCTCTCTCTCTCTCTCTCTCCTCCCTTCTCTCCGAAAAACATAAAATGCCCCCGCGTTTAGGAGCGTTTACTTCTCATTATTCACCCGCGTTTATTTATGAGGGCGCACAGCCGCCGCGGTGGCTGGGAGATGTTAACTGCCTCGCCGGGTAGGCAGGAGGCTCGTGGGGTTCGATCCCGACCCTAACGCCTCTATATTTGGAGTTTGCGTGTCTCTCTCTCTCTCTATCCCCATGCTCACGTGGATTTTTCTCCGGGTCCTCCGGTTTCCCCCCCCCACCCCCGCCTCAAACAATTTGAATCGACATCGCGATGCGTTGAGACTATTTTGCCGGTTGCTATAAATGTCCACGTGATGATGATGATGATGGTGATAATGATAAGCCCACTTTGTTGAGCTACTATCCTCTCTCGTGGGCCAGGTCGATTCTCAAAAAAAGCAGCTGTACAGTTCAGTGGGGCCTTGCCTGGTAAATAAATAAATACAAATACCGTTCATAGCTTTTAGTTGATTCATAATAGAGGTTTTTTTTTGTTGTTGGGTCAGATCGCGTAAATGTAAGTCGTTAAACACGCCAACCACCCGGCACGGCCAATCGGCAAGGCTTTGTGTTACGGAAAAAACAGAACGCGGCCAATTCGTTACTGGTAGAGCACACGCCGGTGTTTGCGTGTCGGAGAGTAAAAGCCACAGCAACATTTACAACTCGAGTGGCCGTGACGTTCCGTACGGCGATTTCTACGGCGGCGAAGAGCAGCACCATCAGGCGTCAGCCAGAGAGTTGTGACGGGCGTTGACGTCGTCAGCTTGTGAGCCAATCAGGTGCGACGGCCAGAGGTGGGTGGGGCCCGTTAATGAATGCGCATAAATTAAAGTGGGTAACCATTAACCGTTTGGGTTACTGATTAGCGATGCAAGCGTTGAGTGGCGTTTAAACGACAAACGTTGTATATTTACGGGATATAACCCAACGAACTCCTTAAAAAAAAGGGTTTTTTTTTTAAAACAACGGTTTTATTAACAACTTCGTTTAATATTCTTGGTTCTTTCGGTAAGGTCACCACGTAGAAGGGAAACAATAAAGTAATAAAAAATATAAAACAATAAAATTCTCACGACGTTTCGACTGCAACGCAAGCAATCATCACCTGGTGATCACCTGATGATTGCTTCTTGTGTTGCAGTCGAAACGTCGTGAGAATTTTATTGTTTTATATTTTTATTATTTTATTGTTTCCCTTCTAACGTGGTGGTTTTCACACCTGATGATGATTGCTTCTTGTGTTGCAGTCGAAACGTCAGTTTAACACGTAGGCTTTCGCGACCAATATTATTCATAATAAAGGTTTTTTGGGTTAGATGGCGTTATTTATAAATGTGCCGTAACCCTCCACCACCCGACACGGCCAATCAGCAAAAAAAAAGTGTCACGTTGACAAAAGACAATTAATTCACTACTTTAGCCCACCGGTGTGTTGAAGAGTGAATCCACAACATTTACAGTTTGAAACGTCGTGAGAATTTTATTGTTTTATATTTTTAACTACTTTATTGTTTCCCTTCTACGCGGTGGTGACTTTACCGAAAGAACCAAGAATGTGAATCCCTGCAGTCACGAGAGCTCTAAATCAAAACTTTGTTTAACTCGCGGTCTTTGAGAAGTGCGTCACCTGCGTTTTTGTGTGCGTGCCGAATCAACAAGTTTAAGGACCGTGGCGTTTTTTTACCTGCACACACAAATATATATTTATAAATAATAAGCCGTCCATAAAAAAAAATTGCAATGGCTTGAAAGGAGGCAATTAATTGATGATTTAATGCCGATTTTTGACACAGGCATGCATTGTCACCGGATCAGAACGGCGTGTGCACAATTTGGACTAGATCGGACAGCAGGAAGGAGACTAACTTTTGGTTACAAGGTTTGACCGCGACAAACACAAGCGGAGTTAAATGAAACCGTTGGAAAAAAAAAAACCTCCATTACGGATAATATTGGCGGCGAAAGCCTCCTGCTACTGCTGCTACTGCTGCGTGTTAAACAGCTCTGGTTTATATTCTTGGTTCTTTCGGTAAAGTCACGTGGAAGGGAAACAATAAAATAAAAATACAAAACAATAAAATTCTAACGATTTTTTTTGTTTTCACACCTGATGATGATTGCTGCTTGTGTTGCAGTCGAAACTGTCGTGAGAATTTTATTGTTTTACATTTTTCTTATTTTATTGCTTCCCTTCTACGTGGTGGTGACTTTACCGAAAAAAACCAAGAATATGAATCCCTGCAGTCACGAAAGCTTTAAATCAATTTTTTTTTTAAAAAAAGCTCTAGTTTAGTTTTATATTTCCGCAGTCTTCTCAACTGCGGCTGGGGGGGGGGGTGGTATCGGGGGGGGGGGGGGGGGGGCAGGGGCGACACCGCTAACCCCTCGTCGCTATTACTGCCGGGCGGCGGGAAGGGGAGATTGCGGTGGGGGCCTCAGCGCCGTGGCGAGATCATTTCAACCGCGGTCACCATCATCGCCGTCCGTCACGCTTAGCGCGTGCGTGGCGTAGTGCCGGTCGCTCTTCTTACCGCACCGCGCGTAGCCCGGGCGTGCTCAGCGGAGGTGCCGGGGAAAGGATAATGGTGGTGATGGCGATGAGCTGGTGGTCATGATGATGATGGTGGTGATGATTAGGCGGTGATGATGATGATGAGGTGGATCAATCATGGCCTGCATGTTGAACTTATTTCGCACCGCGCGTAGCCCAGCGTGGTCAGAGGAGGTGCCGGGGAAAGGATAATGGTGGTGATGGTGATGAGCTGGTGATGATGATGATGATTAGGCGGTGATGGTGATGATGAGGTGGATCAATCATGGTCTGCATGTTGAACTTATTTCGCACCGCGCGTAGCCCAGCGTGCTCAGAGGAGGTGCCGGGGAAAGGATAATGGTGGTGATGGTGATGAGCTGGTGATTATGATGATTAGGCGGTGATGGTGATGGTGATGATGAGGTGGATCAATCATGGTCTGCATGTTGAACTTATTTCGCACCGCGCGTAGCCCGGGCGTGCTCAGCGGAGGTGCCGGGGAAAGGATAATGGTGGTGATGAGCTGGTGATGATGATGATGATGATTAGGCGGTGATGGTGATGATGAGGTGGATCATGGTCTGCATGTTGAACTTATTTCGCACCGCGCGTAGTCCACCGTACTCAGCGGTGGTGCTGGGGGGGCTTGGATGACAAATTAAAACCTCGAGCACCAAGAATTAGAGAAATTAGTTTTCAATGTAGATGACTTAAAGGTGCACAGCTTCTGTGGCTTGATGAGGTGGTGGTGGTGATGATGAGGTGGTGATGGTGGTGATGTAGATGATGATAGTGGTGATGGTGATGATGGTGGTAATGATGATGGTAGTGGTGATGG